GGGCTCTGGCGATCCTTCCGCCTCAGCCTTCCAAGTAGCTGGAACTACAGGCGCACGCTACCATGCCCGACTAATTATTTATTTATTGAAGAGGTGAGGTCTCACCAAGTTGCCCAGGCGGGTCTTGAACCCGTGGGCTCGGGCAATCCACTTACCTCGGCCTCCCAAAGAGTTGGGATTACAGGCTGAGCCACCAAGCCTGGACAATTTTTAAAACAAATCAATGCAAAAGTTTTCTTTAGCTCTGTAGTTACTTTGAAATCATGGAGATTAGAGGGTTAATTTGCCAGTTCTCTCTTTTGAGGTAATTCTTCCACGAATTGAATGAGCAGAGTAGTTCTCTGACCAAGGTATTCTGTTTTCCTAAATTTATTTCCTAAGAAAGGAAGAAGCAAGAATGCTAGAGAGAAGTACTGAAAATAAATAATTGATACCGTGACAGGTATTTATATAAAACCACAAGTATCAGTTTTGACATCCTCTATAGGTATAGGCCTTGAAGAGGAGAAGGTGCTGAAAAGTCGTGGGGTGACACACTCCTGCTTCCTTTGAACACTCTGTGGGGATGGCCATGGGGAGGAAGTCGATATTAGACAGTGGAAAGAATATTCTCAGTTTAGAAAACAGCTCATGAAAAGTGTGATCATGCCATGAGCTGAGTGAAAAGGAGAAAGGGATGTATGAAGGAAGTGAAGAATGCTGTGAGTCATCCATATGTTGTGGATGAATGCAAAACTTTATTTTTGTTAAATTTAAGTTTTTCAAGGAAATATTACCTTCTTTGTACAGTACACTTTGAAAAGCATTTTTTATTAGTAATGTGAGTCATATAAGTTAATTGACATTTATATAGTGTAATAAAAAATGTTCAAGCATCACTTATAATAAAAAAATACCCTGTTAGCTTTTGATTTTTTTTTCAGGTATATATTGTTTGCAATCGTAGGCATATATTTAAAAATAATTTAAGTTGTGTCTGGTGTTTCTTGACTTTCTTTTAAAAACTTACATCTTTAACATTTTCCTTTACCTATCCTTGTTCTTATGTAGCATATTAGAGATATGTGTAGTATTTCATTTTTATTTTATTTTTTAATCTCATTTCTCCATTAATATCTATTTAAATTATTGCCAATTTTCACTGTTGTATATAATGCTATGATGACTGTACTTGTAGCTAAATCGTAGCAAACATGCATAATAATTTTATGAGGATAAATTCTTAGTCCTAAAATTACTGGGTCACAAGATATTATCCATTTAAAAGTCTTATATATTGTGAAATTGTCATTTAGAAATGTTGTACCTACCACTTGTGAATGAGAATTCCTACTTGCTTGTTTTAACCATACCTTTGAGAATGGTAGGCAAACATCATGTTTTGGTTATCTCATTAGGACATTTTCCATAGGTTTGTAGGTTGTCTACAACTGTTTTTTAAACAATTGTTTTTCCTCTTATTCTGACCATTTTTTCTATCACCAAATTGGTCTTTTAGTTTAGAGCTCTTTTTCTTTTGTGATTATTAATGCTTAGTGTGTTATATGTGATCGTAATTCTTTTTTTTTTTTTTTT